AGTGTGCAATCAAGGGGGAGCCCTTTGGTCCCTCCACTGGCAGGACAGGGCTCCGGGAGGCAGGGATGCTCATACTGTGTCCTGCAGACCTGCTACATCTGCGAGGAGCAGGGCCGGGAAAGCAAGGCGGCCTCGGGGGCCTGCATGACCTGCAATCGCCACGGCTGCCGACAGGCCTTCCACGTCACCTGGTGAGAGCTGCCCCAGCCCCTGCACTGAGTGGACGTGTCAACCCTTGGCCGTTCCCTGACCGCCGTCACTTCTCCCTTGGTCAGCGCCCAGATGGCAGGTCTGTTGTGTGAAGAGGAGGTGCTGGAGGTGGACAATGTCAAGTACTGTGGCTACTGCAAGTACCACTTCAGCAAGATGGTGAGTGGCGGCGGTGGCAGCGGGGCAGGGCTGGGAGGGGGATGGATGGACCCAGACAGTGCTGGCCCAGAGGAGCCAGGGCGCCCAGCCTGCAGGGTTGAGCTCAGGCCTGGCCTGGTACAGCTTTTAAGTTGAGTGCAACTGGGAATAAGACCAAGAGACACCCCTTGTGTATGGAAGGCACCATCTGCCATGCCCTGGCCTCTGTACTAAATATTTGGTAGTGGTTTTGTTTGTTGAGACAGTGTAAACTGAGGCTCCCTGAGGTTCTGTAACTTATGGCACAGCTGCCAGCAGGCTTGGGGGGCCGGCAGTCTGCTGGGGTCAAGCAGCAGACAGGGAGGACAGGGAGACCTGGACACAAGAATGGCGTGGGCAGTCAGGGACAGGCGATGCTTGGGGTGGCTGGTGTGGGTGAGGGCTAGAGGGCTCTGTCCCTTGTCACACGTGCATGGTGGCAAGTGCAGGCTGCAGGAGCTGTGAAACTGCTACTAAGGCTCCCATCTACAGAAACTGCTGCTTTGGACTGGGTTTGTCATTTAGGAAGCTGGTCCTGGTGGTTGCTGGGAGGCAGAGGGGCTGAGGCAGGCAGGGTTACGACTGGGGCACTCCAGGTAGACTGGCGGGAGGACAGAGGGTAGAGGACCCAGGCGCTAGAGTCTGGGGAGTGCCAGTGCAGGGGACATCGGCACTCCTCGGACACCCTGGCTTCTGCGGGCTGCACCCTCACCCCGGTCCACCAATGGCTCCGTTGTATTCGTTCCTGTTGCTCGGGCATCAGGTAATAGCCCACTTTGTCACTGTGAGTGTCCACGAGTATATGGACACGGGGGTTTCAGGACTGGTGGTGCCTTGGGGTGAGGCGCAGAGCTGGACTGGGTTTGCAACAGGTTTGGGGAAGCTGATGAGATTCAGAGGATGGAGACAGGCTGAGCTGGAGCCCCCTGGTTTGCTTCCAGGACGGGGCAAAGGAGCCTCGGCAAGGGGGTGGCAGGGGAGTGACTTGGATGGGTGAGGCCTGCAGTGAGCCCCAGGGTTTGGCACCTGGGAGGGGGCTGGCAGCCTGAGAGCAGCAGCTGCAGGCCTGGGACTGGGCAGAAGGGAGCGCGTGAGTGTGGAGGGTGGGGCCGCAGGGACACAGCAGTGGATGCGCTATTTGGGTTTGTCATTTTGAGACAGCCTCCGGCTATAAAATGTAGGCAAACTTTGAACTTACTGGTCTCAAACTCAGAGCAGTGTTCCTGCCTCAGCCTCCTGAGGGCTGGGATGATGGGTGTGTGTCACTGTGTGGAGCAGGCTGTTTAGATTTTGTTACAATGGAGTAGCTTGTGGGTGGAGGGAAGGGATGATGGTGGGGTGATGGTAGGGTGATGTGTGGAGGGTCCTCGTACCCCTTCTGCCTGAGGGAGGCAGTCTGAAATAGGCTGTGGTTCAGCAGACCAGAATGAGCCAGAAGATTCTGAGGAGGGAGTAGGAATAAAAAGTGGGGCCTTGGACCAAGACGCCTCCTTGCCTCTTTGCCTCTTCCGGGTCTCAGTTTTCTCATGCTGGAAAAGGCAGTAGAGGAGCCAGGCACGGTAGTCATCTTAGCATTCAGGAGGCTGAGGCAGGAGGATCACCGTGAGTTTGAGGCTTGCTTGGGCTATACATAGCAAGACGCTGTCTGAAAACACCATCACCCAAAAAATAAAACAAATAAGAAACTAGGCAGCAGAGAGGCTGTAGGACTTGAGGCTCTTGGTGGGCAGAGCTTTGTGGCTGTGAGGTCTGGGCTGGGCAAATGGGGACCCTTTAGGATCAGGGTCTTCAGGCATCTTTCTGTAAGGCAGTGAGAGGAGGAGTGGGCAGATGCTTCCAAATCTCTCCCCAGAAGACATCCAGGCACAGTGGCGGCGGAGGAACAGGAGCAGGAGGCAGCGGTGGCGGTGGAGGTGGCAGCAGTAGCAGCACTGGTGGTGGTGGCGGCAGCAGTGGCGGTGGCACAGGGGGAGGTGGCAGTGGTTTCGTCCCTGGCAGGAGGAGCCGGTCAGCCTCACCCTCTAGCCAGCAGGAGAAGCACGCTGCCCACCACGAGCGAGGCCAAAAGAAGGTGAGGCCTCCCCACTGGCATGGGGGACAGCTCTTTCGTGCACGCGCACCCTGATTCTCTTGAGGGCCCCTCAGTACACCCTGCCCTGGAACCAGTCCCTTCTCTCCTGTGGTCATTGTGGGGCAAGAAGGGGCAAGGAAGTAGAATCTGAAGGTCCAGAAGGGGTCATGAGACCAGCTGCCCTGAGCTCTGTCGCCCCTGCCAGCAGTGTCCCTAGGCCACAGACTGTGGTCCTGTAAATGTGCCTGCTACGCATCCCAGTGCACAGCCCAGTCCCACCTGGACACCCTTGCAGGTGCGGGCTCTGGGTCCTGGCTGATAATGGGATAGACTATTTTTAGCAGGCAGGGAGGATGAGAGGAAAGGCCCTGGGCTCTCGGAGGAGCTTGGTAAGCTGCTCCCGTCCGGCTAGAGTCCCCAACCCTCCTTGGCAGGACATGGTTCTTGCTGCCATGTGTCATGTGCCTGTGTATCAGTGCCTGGTCATCCCTCGCTTCCCAGAGTCGAAAGGACAAAGAACGCCTTAAACAGAAGCACAAGAAGCGGCCTGAGTCCCCTGCCAGCATCCTGACTCCACCTGTGGTCCCAGCTGCTGACAAGGTACTGGGGGGGGGGGCAGGCTGTGCAGGGAGGGGGTTCATTCCTCCCTCCCCACCCCTGTCCAACATACACCTACATCTACCTCTGTCCTGAGGCTGCTATACTGAGCTCTGCTTGCAGAGTAGGCCCAGCCTTCCAGGGAGAGAAAGGAGACACTCCAAGCCCCATACCCAACCCAGATCCCACCAGGAGTGCTGGCTGGGTGGCAGGACAGGCCCATGGGCAACACCCTGGCACCCACCCAGCAGGGCCTGGCTGTCCTCAGCCAGGGAGCTGCTACTCCAAGTCAGTGTGGCTGCCTGTGGGCCTGCAGAAACTGCTTTCTCCTACCCTGCCTGTCACCCCTGTCACCTCCACTGCCAGGACGCTTGGCAGAGCTCAGGGCACCCTAGCTGAGGTGCAGCTCTCAGGTTTCCAGGGTGACGTTGCTGTGGCAACTACCCCAGTCACCTTTCTCTGCCCTGCTTGCTCCCAGGGTTCACCTGGGAAAGTGTGTCCCTTGTGCCCTTGGCCTTTCTGTGGGCCTGGGGGTTCCCAGGGACCCCCAGCCGCACCCTGAGATCTGTCCCATCCCCCGCCCATAACATGCACCCACCCTCCCCCAGCCCACTGCTCCCCGCTCTGTACCACATCTGGCTGCCTTCAGAACTCCAGCTGCTGAAAAGAACAAAGGGGAAGACAGGGACCAGGGCTACGCCTGCGCTGGGAGGGGCGGTAAAGGGCCCTGGCTCCTGGCCATCTTCCAGAAGGGAAGGGGGTGCATAGGGAGGGCCTTAGCTAATCCCAAGCTGACCCTTGACATGGGTATTCCATGAACCCGGCAACTGAGTGGAGAAAGCCAGGGGTCAAGGGTTCAGTAGTTGGCTTCAGAGCACGTGGTAAGCAAGGGGTGCTAAGGCTTGAGTGTGGGCATCTGCCTAAGGCCTGTGTGCGTGCCCCATGAAGTACTGTCTGCTGGGCATTGAGCAGACTGTGCGCTGCCCAAGTTCATGGACTTCTCCTGGGAGGATGCTGAGCTTAACTGTGCACCTCGGCATGGCCAGCTCCGGCCTGCCCTGTCCAGGTACCCAGACACCAGGATGGACAGCGCAGTGCAGTGTGTAGTGGAGCAGCCAGGGGTGGTGGCACACACTTGGAATGTGAGTGTCTTGGGAGGCTGATGCGGGAGTGTTGCAAGTTCGAGGCTAGCCTGTGGCAGTTCAGCAAAGCCTTGTTCAAGTAATAAAACCTGGGATATTCTCGGTGTGGAGGTGCTGGACTGCAATCCCTGCTCTCGACGCTGTGGCAGAGATTGCCTAAGTTCAAGACCAGTCTGGCCTGCATAGTGAGAGCCTGTCAGAAAAAGGAGGAGGCTGGGATGCCTCATGGTGGAGCCCTTACCTGGCAAGCACAAGGCCCCAGGTTATGTGGACCACTAAAAAAAGGGCAAGAGACTGTTCACCCTGGGCAGTCAGGGAGGCTTCACAGGTGTGAGGATTCTGGGCTCATTGTTTGATTTTGTGGGGTTTTTGAGACAGGGTCTCGGCACGTAGCCCATGCTGGCCGTGGACTCCTGGCAGTCCTCTTGCCCGAGCCTTGCATGGATGATAGCCAAGCGTGCATTTATGCTCCTCGAAACAGCTTTCCCTGTGTCTGCCTCTTGCTCTTCCTCCTCCGGCAGGTCTCTTCCTCCCACCATGAAGCCGGCACTCAGGAGACCTCGGAGAGCAGCAGGGACTCGAAGGGAAAAAAGTCTTCCAGCCACAGCCCGAGTCACAAGGGCAAGAAGCCGAGCTGCAGCGGGAAGGGTGGGAGCAGCTATGCCGGAGCCTCCTCTGGAGGGCCCTTCCAGCCTTCAGGTGAGGGTGCCCTCCCAGGGAGGCCGCTGCACGCCTCGCCCTGGCTCTCCTAGCAAGAGCTTGGTGTGGGGATTCGCGTCTCATTTGCTTTTATTTATTTACTTAGGCTCTCTGAGTCAGGGTATAATTCTAGTGGAGGTGGGCCTTGAATGCCCCAGTAGCCAAGCCTGTCCTTGAACTTGCCACCACCCTTCTGCCACAGCCTCCTGAAAACTAGGATGATGGGTGCACCCTAGGCCTGCCCTGCATCTCACTTGCTTTTGCTAACCAGTGCAGGAGAAAGGGGACATCGCCAGCCAGGGCCTCTTCTCTGGCCACCCCTCCCACCTGGCCCCTTGGACCTGAAACTCGGGACCATGTTCATTGTCCACTACCTGTGTGCTGTAGGGACCATTGAAGACACTGCCATTAGTGTTGGTTCCTCTGTCTACAGTCAGCCAGTGGGGTCCGCGGGGTGGGAGTTTCCTTCCTTTGTTTTGAGACAAAGTTTTATGATGTAGCCCAGACTGGCGATGATAAACACAAGGGGATCCTCCTGCCTCAGCCTCCCCAGTACTGGGATTACAGGCATGGGCTGCCACGCCAAGCTTTATCTTCCACTTGTTATGGGTGGGCAAGCTGGACACGGGTCCTCATCCCAGGACCATGGAGCTGGGCTGGGGAGCCTGCTCCCCACTCACCCAGAGCATATGGCTGTGAGAGGAAGGGGGGACCTACGCCAGGCCTGATCGCCTTTCCTTTGCACATAGGCTCCTCCCTGCAGAGCTCCCCTGACTTCTCCACCTTCCCCAAGCTGGAGCATTCGGAGGAGGACAAGTACTCCAAGCCCTCGGCCCCCACCCTGTCGGCCCCGCCCTCACCCTCGGCCCCAGAGCCCCCCAAGGCTGACCTCTTCGAGCAGAAGGTGGTCTTCTCTGGCTTTGGGCCCATCATGCGCTTCTCCACTTCTGCCTCCAGCTCGGGCCGGGCCCGGGACCCATCCCCTGGGGACTATAAGTCTCCCCACATTTCAGGGTCTGGGGCATCAGCCAGCACCCACAAGCGGATGCCCTCCCTGAGTGCCACCCCTGTGCCAGCGGAGGAGCCCCTGGAGCCAGGGCTGAAGGAGAAGAAGCACAAGGCCAACAAGAAGAGCCGGCATGGACCAGGCCGGCCTAAGGGCAGCCGGAACAAGGAGGGTGCAGGGCCCCCAGCTGTCCCCACCCTACCTGCCCCCCAACTGGCTGGCTTCACCGCCACCGCTGCCTCCCCCTTTTCTGGGGGATCCCTGGTGAGCTCCGGCCTGGGGGGCCTGGCCTCCCGCACCTTTGGACCTTCAGGGAGCTTACCCAGCCTGAGCCTGGAGTCCCCCCTGATGGGCGCAGGTTAGTGCCTCTGAGGGTGGGGCAGGGACAGAAGCATAAACATGCAATCAGATGGCGCTAGAAACTGCTTCAAAGGCTGGGGTTGGTAAGGCACACCTGTAATCCTAGCACTGTAGGAGGCTGAGGCAGGAGGGTTGCAAATTCTAGGCCCTGTCTCAAAATAATAAAGGGGGATGGAGATGTAGCTCAGCACGAAGGCCCCAGGTTCAGTCCCAGTACTGCAAAAGGAGGAAGAGAAGCAAGCTTGCTTCAAAGAGAGGATGGAGATGACAGTCACCTCAACACATGCCCGTATGCTAGTCACCTGTACAGTTGCCCTGGGAGGCGGCACTGGTTACAGAAGGGACCAGCACTGGGGGCCAAGACAGACTAGTACACAGGTACCTCATGCCATGCCACCCCAGCAAGAGGCCCATTAGGTATGTGGCCAGGTCCTTAGGTGTCGCAGCCGTCCCAGCCCCTGAACAAGGAGGTGACGGCTTCCTCTGCTCTCCTCGTGCCTGCAGGCATCTACACCAGTAATAAGGACCCCATCTCCCACGGTGGCAGCATGCTGCGGGCTGTGTGCAGCACCCCCCTCTCCTCCAGCCTGCTGGGGCCCCCGGGCACATCTGCCTTGCCCCGGCTCAGCCGCTCCCCTTACACCAGCACCCTCCCCTCCTCCTCAGCAGCTATCTCCACCACTCAGGTGAGGCCCCACTCTTCCTCCACCTTCCCCTTCTCGGGCATGGCTGCACTGTGACCAGAATGCCCCACCCCAGAAACAGCTGTGCCCTGGACCCCTTCTCAGGTGTTCCCCCTGGCCGGCTCTACCTTCAGCCTCCCCTCTACCCACATCTTCGGGACCTCGGTGGGCGCTGTGAACCCGCTGCTCACCCCGGCTGAGAGCAGCCACCCAGGTAGGAGTCTGGACCCTGCTGTCCTCTCCTCCCCAGGCCTTAGCACTGAGGGGGATCGCTGGCCGCCCCCTGCCCCTGGCCAGCGCCCACCGGATATAGGAAAGAAAGGAAACAAAACCTAACAAGACAAAGTTGGGTACCCCGGGCAGGAGCACCCCAAGTTCAAGGCTAGCAGGGCATGTGTGGAGGGAGCACTGTCAGTAAACTTAAAGCCTGGGGGTGCAGCCGCCATCTTTGAGACCCTGGGTTCCAAAACTAAAACAGGACCAGCACAGAATTACTACTGCGTGTTGGAGGAGTAGGCAGAGGTGGTAACACGTGTCATCTCAGCAGTCCAGAAGGCTGAGGCTGGAGGATCTAAGTTCAAACCTTGCCGGGGCAACTCGGGAAGACCCTGTCTCTATTAAGAAGGGTGGTGGTGCTAAGGATGCACCTGGTTCAGTTCCCAGTAACAGTGGGAGAGGGGCATTGTGGTTTTGAGATCTGAAACTGGGAGTAGGGTTCTGTGGCTCAACAGTTTTACCTTCCTCAGGACTTTATGGATATAAAGTCATGCTAATTACGATAATACTAGTTATTAAAGGCTGGTGCTTGCCAGCCAAACCCTCCGGATAAACACAACGTTATTCCCATATTTCGGTCCTAATAGCAATCACCTTAGATTACACAAGGTAGTGTCAGGTTACAGCTCAGTCCAGGTTGGTGTCTACTTCAAATCCCAGGACTGTAACTCTGAACCTGGGAGGCGAATCCGAGCCTCAAAAGGCAGGGTTTCCAATCCCTGCTTCCCGAACCTCACCACTGGGATTAGGTGTCGGGGGAGAAGGGTCTGCGCTGAGGTCCCCGCATCCACCGCCCAGGCTGGGACCCTGTAGCAGGAGGACCCTTTCCTCGCTGACGCCCTGCTCTCCCTTCTCTTTCTAAGAGCCAGACCTGGAGGACTGCAGCTTCCGATGTCGGGGGACATCCCCCCAGGAGAGTCTGTCTTCCATGTGAGGGAGGGGGCTGCGGCTGGGGGATGGGGTGGGGACTTACTGGAACCCCCGAGGGCGAGGGGGCCTGCCTTGGGGCGAGAGGTGCCTGAACCAGCCTTCGCTCCCGGACTTAGGTCCCCCATCAGCAGCCTCCCTGCACTCTTCGACCAGACCGCCTCTGCACCCTGCGGTAGCGTCCACTTAGATACGCCAGCCCCGGGGACGACTAACATGGAGCAGCTGCTGGAAAAACAGGGCGACGGCGAGGCCGGTGTCAACAGTGAGAAGGGTGGCGCCAGGCGGGGTGTGGGCAGGAGACTTGCCCTCGGCTGGGTCCCTTTCCCTCCCAACGTCTTCCTGGCCGGGAGACTTTTGTCTGCGCCTCCTCTCCCTTCTGCTGCGGAGCGCCAGGCCCCGCCCCGGGTTCGCACACCTGTGGCCTCCCTGCTTTTGACTGGTGCAGCATCCCAGAATCCCCACCCTTGTAGGTCCACCCAGAGAGTAGGCCACGCCCTCAGTCCACCATTGGGTGATCCATGACCACGCCCCTCGGGCCCGGGGGGGGGGGTCCTGTCCAGGCCCCGCCTCCCAGGCCCTCAGCTGACTCGCCCGATCCCTCCGCAGTCGTGGAGATGCTGAAGGCACTGCACGCACTGCAGAAGGAAAACCAGCGGCTGCAGGAGCAGATCCTGAGCCTCACGGCCAAGAAGGAGCGGTTGCAGATTCTCAACGTGCAGCTCTCCGTGCCCTTCCCCGCCCTGCCTGCTGCCCTGCCTGCCGCCAATGGCCCTATAGCTGGGCCCTACGGTCTGCTCCCCCAAGGTGAGGGGCCCCTCCGGGCCCAGAAGTCGGAGTCCCTAGCTGGCAGCTGACACGGGTCCCTTCCAGCTGTGACCTCCCTTCTCCCTCAGCCAGCAGTAGTGACTCCCTGAGCACCAGCAAGAGCCCTACGGGCAAGAACAGCCTTGGCCTGGACCACTCGCTGTCCACATCTTCAGAGGTGGGCGCCATGGGAACAGGCCGGGGAGAGGGGGAGACTGCGGGTCCCTGTCCCGTCTCTACCCTGCGCTTGTTGGAGCCTGGGCAGCAAAGTGATTGGTTCATCCGTTCATCTCTTTATGAGGTCCTGCTCTGCACCAGCACAGGCTGGGTACCCCACAGTAGCACCAACATGGGCATTCTGAAGATGGGTTATGCCAACAGCCAGGGCTAATGGGACAGTAAACTCAGGGCCGTGAGGGAGCGGGGAAGGATCCTCTCCTCGTGGGCTGGCTAGGGAGCCCTGGGAGAAGTGTTCTGAAGGGGTTATTATAGTGCCTCACACGAAGTAATCCTTGCATAATTGGTAGTGGTTGGAATAGCAGTTGCTATTGTTATGTTGTGGTTATTATTGGACTCCAACGAACTGGGCTCTTGTTCTCTCGCTGTCATTTACCAACCGGGACTGAAGCAATCATAATCATAACAATAACTAACATTAATTGCCCACTTGTTCCCCGTTGTGCCTATTGGTCTGCACAACGATGCCACAGAATTAGAACTACTGTTACCCTCAGTCAGGAGTGTGTGAACTAAGTTGAATCTCCGGCCACCAAGGCCCTGCAGCATAGACAGCCTTGCAGTCCAGCCTGGGCGTTCAGCTCATCATAAAATACGAGTTGTGACTGGGAGCTGCTCAGGGCAAGCCCTGACTTCTGGGTCAAAGTTGGGGTGATAGGTGCTGAATCCCCAGGAAGTGGGCAGTAACAAGGTTTTTGGAGAAGATTTGAATTGGATTCTTAGCCTTTCTTCTTGGCCTGGCTTTTTCACTGGGGTGCTTTGGGCTGCAGTGGGGTAGGGTGGGGTGCTCTGGTGGGTGCCAGGCAGGTGACACTGGTCCTCTGACCCTGCTCCCCTCCCCCCAGGACCCACACTCAGGCTGCCCGAGCCGCAGCAGCTCGTCGCTGTCCTTCCACAGCACGCCCCCACCACTGCCACTGCTCCAGCAGAGCCCGGCCACCCTGCCTTTGGCCCTGCCTGGAGGCCCTGCGCCACTCCCACCCCAGCCGCAGAACGGGCTTGGCCGGGGACCTGGGCCAGCAGGGCTGGGGGCCGTGCCTGTGGCTGAGGGGCTGCTGGGAGGGCTGGCTGGCAGCGGGGGCCTGCCCCTCAATGGGCTCCTGGGGGGGCTGAATGGGGCTGCCGCCCCCAACCCTGCAGGCTTGAGCCAGGCTGGTGGGACTCCCACGCTGCAGTTGCCAGGCTGTCTAAACAGGTGAGGGGGTGCTCTCAGCCCTGGGAGGTCATGAGAGGCTTAGGAGGGTCTGCCAAGCTATCATTCTCAGAAAGGAGAATGTCCACTGGCCCCAAAAGGGATGGCCCTAGTGTCCTGCTGGCCTCTGCAGACCCTAGACAGGCACTCCTCTGCCTTAGAAGCCCCACTTAGGTCTTTCTCCTGGGGCAGCTCCCTCTTCCTATGCCTTACCTGCCCTTTACCTCGATATGTTCCTCTGCTACCTCTGAGCTCTGGCCTCCAAACTGCACCTTCTGCCTCTCATCCTGTCCGCGGGAATATGGGAACCTGTAGGGTGGGAGGTGTGTACCCTGGCCTTCCCAACCAGGCCTGTCTGTCCCCCATCAGCCTCACGGAGCAGCAGAGACACCTCCTTCAGCAGCAAGATCAGCAGCTCCAGCAGCTCCAGCAGCTCCTGGCCTCCCCACAGCTGACCCCGGTACCACGCCCCTCCCCCACACAGCTAGATCTGGGCCAGCCCGGTGGGGGTGTCCAGACTGGGCAGGGATGGAGCCTGGGGCAGCGGGCAGAGAAGGGGCAAGGGGTGAGGCCATGCCAGGCATTCCCTGGCCACTAGGAAGAGGGTACTACCAGGACCCCAGATTCCACCTCAGGGAAGCTGAGCACTGGAATCCTGCCAGTACATCACGGAAATCCCAGGGTTTCTGGGGAAAGGTACCACGACATATGATGCCACCCCAGCCAGAGCAAGTTCTTGAGCTCTTTTAAATTTCACTCCAAAACAGGGGACTTTGCTCTTTAAAAGCAGGTGAGAGGAAAGGAAAATTGGGCATGGTGGAGACATGGGCACATGCCTGCAGTCCCAGCACTGTACGGGACTGAAGCAGGAGGATCATAGATTCCAGACTGGTCTAGGCAATTTTTTTTTTTTTTTTTTAAGATGAGGTCTTACTAAGTGGTTCAGGCTAGTCTCACTTGCAACAGTTCTCTCGCCTTAGCTTCCTGAGTGCTGAGATTAGAGGCATGTGCCACCATGCCTGGTGCCTAGGCAACTTACTGACCTGGCAAGACACTGTCCCATGTCAATGCTGGGAGTGTTGCTCAGTGACCGTGTTTGATTACATATATGAAGCTCTGTATTTAATCTCTAGAACCACAGAAAGTAAGAATGAGAGGGTAGGGGCCAGGGAGATGGCTTAGTGGAATAAGCGCTTCCCTGTTAAGTGCAAGGGCCTCAGTTCAATCCCTGGTTCTGCAAAAAAAAAAAAAAGATGAGAGGGTGAAAAAATATAAGCTAGCATTTTCATGTAAAGAATGCGAAAAAAGACCAAAAAGTAGTTTAAGATTACTAAGCACGGCGACCGGAGTTCAAGCTGGCCCCGCCCCCAGGCTCACTGAGCCTTCGACAGAATCTGGGCATGATGGCGCGCACCTAGAATTCCAGCGCTGGGAAGGCTGAAAACAGGAGGATCACTGTGAGTCCAGGCTGTGTAGTGAGACCTTGGACCAAATACTTAAAACAAAAACAGCTTATTACTTACAGAGTCAGAGTATAACAAGAATAGGAAGATTTTTGTGAGATAAACGATCCGTTATTTTGACCTTAGGAACACAGAATGCTATAGTCACTTGAAAGTAAAATGAGTTTTCGTAATAAAAGGATGAGGAATTGAAAACTAGTGTCAGCTGGGCATGGTGGCCCACACCTGCAGCCCCAGCACTGCATGCTGAGGTGGCAGGATTGCTCCGCCTCAAAAAAGAAGAAAAAAAATGAATGTTTTTCAACTTGCATTGTATCACCTTTGGAGCATTTGTAGTTGTTACAGCCACAGAGACTGTTTAGTGGGCTGCGGATGGCACAGCCCTGCATGGCCAGCAGTCTGCAGCTGACAGATGCAGGCTGGGCAGCCGTCTTCTTTTCTTTCGTGGGTGTGGGTGTGGGGTGTGTTTTTTGTTTTATTTTTATTTATTCCTGCCTTTTTTGAGACAGGATTTTGCTAGGCAGTTTAGGCTGGCATTGAATTCGCACAGTCTGTCTCAGCCTCCTGAGCGCTGGGATTACAGGTGTGTACCACCAGGCCTGGCTCTTACGGTTCTTGGAGCTAGGGTCTTGCTGTGCGGTTTAGGTTGCCCTTGAACTTGCTGTTGTCAAGGTTGACGTGGACATCTGTCTCCTGCCTCAGCCTCCTAGCTCATGGGATCACAGGCGCATGGCACTGTGTTTGTTTTTCTTGTCCAGATGGGGAGACTAAGGCCTAAAGTGGGATTTGAGAGACAGAAGCCTGATGCCTGCCCTTTCTGTGTGACTCCAGGGCTGTGGGCAGGGCAGGCTGGCAGTGCAGGGAGGGTCTGTAAGGAGCAGTTGGTCCCTTGCAGGAGCACCAGACTGTTGTCTACCAGATGATCCAGCAGGTGCAGCAGAAGCGGGAGCTGCAGAGGCTGCAGATGGCTGGGGGCTCTCAGCTGCCCATGGCCGGCTTGCTGGCTGGAAGCTCTACCCCACTGCTCTCGGCTGCATCTGCACCAGCCCTGCTGCCCGCCGGAGCCCTGGTGGCCCCCTCACTGGGCAGCAACACGAGTCTCATGGCTGCGGCAGCGGCAGCTGCAGCCGTGGCAGCAGCAGGGGGACCCCCAGTGCTCACTGCCCAGACCAACCCCTTCCTGAGCCTGTCGGGGACAGACAGCGGCAGCGGCCCCAAAGGAGGGGTGAGTAGGGGCTCCAGGGCCTTTCCAGCTGCCTGCAATGGGAGGTACAGGGATGGATGGTCAGGACGCCTAGTGCAGAGCCAGGAAGGAGGCACTGTGGGCAGGGCTGGTGGGAAAAGGACGAATTAGAAAATAGCCTTCCACCAGATGTGGCAGTGCACACCTGGAATCCCGGCACTGGGAGGCTGAGGCAGGAGGAGTGCTACAAATAGGAAGCCAGTCTGGGCTACATAGTGAGTCCAAGGCCAGCTTGGACTATTTAGGGAGACCCATTTCAAGAAACAAAAACAGCATCAAGCAAGAAAATGAACAAGTCTTCCTCTAGGGTGACCAGTTAGGAAGAGATGGCTATCTGGGGCCCAGAAGGAAAGGGCCACAGAGCTGGCACTGGACGCTGCCCTTGGCTGCCATGTGCTTGCATCTTACCACCCCCGCAGGGCCTGGTGTGCCTCACTTGAGCCACACCAGAGGTGCCAGCCTCCTTCCCTTCTGCACCCAGGAAGCTCCCAAGGCCCCAGCCTCCCTTCCTGTCTTTACAGACTGCTGACAAAGGAGCCTCAGCCAACCAGGAGAAAGGCTAAGCCCACTCTGCCCTTCCTGAGCCCTGCGTGGAGGGGACACGTCCTGGCTGGAGGGCTCTGCGCCTGGAGCAGGCAGCAGGGCCCAGACACTGGCAAGCCTGGCACAGAGCCCATGCAGAGGCCCTGGGCACTAGGGAAGTGCGGTGCCGCAGACCAGGGCTGGGAGGGTGCCTGGCACCTGCGCTGCCCTGCCACAGGGAGAGGCTTCGCAGGGGGGAGCTTGGGGCACCTACAGAACAGCACGCATGGGAGGGGGTTGGACCCACCATGTAAAACAGATCAGCACTTGAACTCGGGAGAAGGGAAGGGGCGGCCTTGGGCCTGGCCCCATGTGGAAATCTGGGGAAGAAGGGGCCCCCCCATTTGGTTTCTTCCACACCCGGGCAGGTGGCAAAAGGGTCCCTTCGACTGTTTCTCACTGTCCCTTTCCCCACCCAGGGTCATAAGCTGAGCTTGTAAAAGCCCACAGACATGGGGGCTGAGGAAGGGCAGGACATCGGTGTCAGCCCAGGCCTCCAGCACCCGGGGGCCCCACGATGGGCGGGGAGCGCTGGCTGCCCTCGGCACCCCCCCTTGTTTGCACTATTGGCTTGAGGTGTGCCGAGGCTAGGGAGAGGCGTGAGTGTGCGTGTGCGTGTGTGGGTGTGTGGCGTCGTCCTCGGTCTTCCTTCTCTGGACCTGGCAGCTGAGGGCAGGGATTGGCTTTGTCTGTGCCCCCCCACCTCGCACTCGTGATCTCTTTCTCAGCGTAGAGGACAGGGAAACCCAGAAGTGCACCCTGGTACCGGAGCACAGGGTTTGGAATCAGTGACAGCCTGCTTTCCCTCCCTTGCGCCCTGTCTGCCCCCTTCTTCCTTGGGTGAGGGGGGCCTTTGGGCTTGGGGGAGAGGACAACAAGGTCAAGTGCCACTTCTTTTAGCAAAAGTCCTGCTTCCAGAATTGGCCAGCCTGCCTTCCACCCATGCCGATCATGAAGCCACTAAACTGACCTAGCAGGTGTCCCCTCACCCCTTGGCTGTGTCTGGGTGCACCAGGCAGTGCTCTTCGGGGGGGGGGGCCCTTCTGCCAGGGCCTCTGGCAGGCAGGTGGGGTCCGGTGGGGAGCTGTTCAGTTGCACTGGGGTGGATGCCCCGCCAGTCCGTCCCTCTGTCTGTCCGTCCAGCTTGCATGTGTGCATAACTGTGTGTTTCTGCTTGGGGTTTTGTTGGATTTTTTTTTTTTTTGGTTGTTTTTTTGTTTTGTTTTGTTTTTTAATAAAGAAAAAGAAGATGTGTATATTTTTGGCAACAACAGAAATGTAGTGCAGATATATTTTTGCCTGTGCTGCTCAACTTTTTTTTTCCTGATACGGAAAATATTAATATTCCTGTTGATAAGACTTTGTAAGATGTTAGCGCGCTAACGGACAGGGTGGGTGGGAATCCTTCCGAGGCGATTTCTTAGGCACTTGCAAGGGCTTGGGCGGGGGAAGGGCCAGTTGTGATGACCTCGAAATACTCATTTTTTAAATTAAATGCGAAATATCAGTTAAGACATTAGAACCGAGCATTTATCCATCTTAGTCCATTCTGCTCTTCAACTCCCTGACCCCAAGCCACCATAAAATAAAATGACCTTCAGAGGTTCTTAGAAGAGTTGCTCCTTTCCACCCTGCCCTTACCTATGGATGAGGCTACTTTGTCCCTCATCCTGGTAAAAGGGATGGGGGCACCCAGGCTGTGGCATGAAGGCAGGGAATGGTGTAGTGCACTGGAACCAAGACACCCCTAGCACGTCCCACCCGTCCCACCCATCCCAACCCCAGTTACCGCCATCTCTGCCTCAGTCCCCAGAGTTTCCCAAGTCCTTTGTGTAACCCCACACACACAGGGAGGGAGGCCAGGCTTGTGGACATGGGACACAGGCCAGCTAGGAGCCCACTAGAAAAGCTATGAAGACCCTTGGGAGGGACAGGACACAGATGTAAGTGGCTGTAAGGCCTTTACTCTCTCCCAGCCCCAGTCCAGCTTCTGACAACTTGGCTGGAGGTGGGGTAGGGTGGGGTGCAGATTTGTGGTGCTGACTGGGGGAGGGGAAGGATGTGGTTTACAGAGCAGAGCGGAAGTGGCGCCTGCAAATCTTGGCTAGAGCTTTTGTGTGCCACCCCCCCCCAAGCAGGGAGATGTGAGTGGGTGTGGGAGCCAGGTCCCTGCTGGCCCAGGGGTCCTACCTGGGGGTGGGGCATGTTAGCTGGCCTTGGCTTCCCTGGTGACAGCTGCAAGCGCAGATGGGTAGAGGCCCCTGCTGAGCCAGGATCTGGCCACCTGGTCTTCAGCTCTCCTGCAGGCTGTCTGCACGTACGTGTGTGTGCACATGTGTGCTTGTGTGTGTGAGAGAGAGAGACACGTGGGCTGTGCCTAGGTTGGAGTCTGTTTTGTCTTAGTTCTGAGCTGACAGGTCCTCTTCACAGAAAATGACACTTCAAGGGGTGCCTTTAAAATTTGTCCTATTTGTGGGTTTTAGGCCCTGGGGCCTCCTGCTCCTTCATGGAGTTCCTGACAATGAGCTTGGTGAGGGAACCCCTGTTCTTTCCTCTACTGACACCTAGGGAAATGGTCACCCCGGTTTTAAAAGAGCACAGACTAACCAGACAGGTGTATAAGCCGGGGTCAGCTCTGAGGAATGACTTTAAGTCCCTGTCCTAGACTGGAAATGCTGGGCAGGTTTGCCAAGACCCAGGCTCCCCTGTGAGCTAGCAGCGTCTTCCTGATATGTAGTGGGCCAGAGTGAGGGGTGGCAGCTTGTTCCCCCTTTATCCTGGGAGAAGGGTGGGCTTTCTACTGAAGTTGGAGGAAGATGGGGCCAGGCAGCCCTACCTACTCCCAGCCACCTGAAAACCCATCCGCTCTGACCAGGCTGCTTTGCCTGGCTGTGGAGTTGGTGTAGTACCCATTGTTGTCCACTGCCCATCTTCCAGCCCAGAGTGGTAGTGGGGTAGTGGGACCGCAGACCTGGCCTCCCCTTTGGTCCCAGCCTGTTTAGCAGACCCTTCCCCGGGGGTAGGGAGGGGAAGCCTCAGTTTGCAAGCCCAGGGGCCCCTTTCTTGTTCTTTCTAAAGCCTCCTTTATATCTTCAGCCCAAAAGGCAATGTCCCCACCCGAACCTCCAAGCCCAGAATTGTGCATAACCTGGATCTTGTATCTTTGTATAACGGATGTTATTTGTACGAAGGGCAGTTCGTAAACAGCACTTGTTCTTTTAATAAAAGACTGTTTTACAAAAAAAAAAAAAAAAAATTCCAAAGAGAGACCCTGCTTTGTCTGGCTTTACTAAAGGGAAAGGGAGGCGGCCTGCCCAGGGAAGGCGGGGTGTGGTCTGTGAACCTTCTGCACCGAGAAGAGCAGTCCGCCGCCTGTGCGTCGGCTGATGCCCGCTGCACACAGAGAGGCGGACACAGGAGCCTCTAGGAACTCCAGGACATCCTGGAGGAACTACTGCCCCTATCTGTACTGGACACTGAATGGATGATAAGGTCTTCGTAATGAGTGGTGTCCCCAGACTGTTCTGTTGCTCTTTAATTTACGAAGGGTTTTGCAAAATTGTAAAGGGTGGGCTAGAACTAATGATCCTCCTGCTTCAGCCTCCTAGAGAGTACGATTGTTGTTAAACTGGCTGAGCGATGAGCCCTCCCCATCAGCCCCATCCTGCGCTTTCGAGGCACGGCCTTTAGCCCAGCGAGGGGCGGCAGCGTCCTCAGATAGGCCCTGCCTATTGGTTCCCGGAGACGCCCGCTGCGTAACCAGGACAAACCTGGGCTGCGGGCGGGTACCTGCTGGGGCTTCCGGGGGTGGGGGGGAGCTCTGGTTCACCTCGCGGAGCCGTGCCGTATCTTCCGGCCCGCCCCAAACCCGGGCCCAGGCCGGGGCCCAGCGAGTGGAGGACGTAGCGCACGCTGTCAGCGAACTAGTTATTGCGAGCAGCTACCGCAAGCGCGGGGAGGGAGATCCTACGGCCCCGCCCAGCCTCTGGCTCCGCCCCCGCGGTACATAGCTCCGCCCTCGGCCCCGCCCACTCTCCACCCCTCCTACCCGGCCCAGCTAAGCCCTTCCCAAGTCCCGCCCCTCGTCCGCCCGCGTCCCAGTGTCCGAGGTTCCTGTGCTTACATCTTGCTCGGCCTAGCGCGTCCTTTGCAGCCTTTTCCCGAGCCTAGCGCTTCCGGCGTGCCAGGACCTGCCCAGCAAGGGTCCTTTGTAACCCCTCCTCTTACCCTCTGGTCCTTCCGTGATGGCCTTCAGACGTCCTCCTCTCTCCACTGAGTCAGTTTTTCTGTTTCCAGACCATGTCTGGCTGCGTGTGTTGCAGAAGCTCAGCCAGAAGCGGCACATCACCTCCTGGCTGGTGAGTTACTCCAGCGTCTCTGCTCCCCTCACACGTCTCCCAATTCCAAAGACCTCAAAAAAACGGAACCAAGGAGGCACAGCCCTGTCTCAGCGCTGGTCTAGGGCAGGGGTGGGCGGGCCCTGCGTGGAGGTCCTGGCTTTTTTCCACTCTGCTAATGCAGGCCCCGGTGTGCTGCACCTCCCTCCCAGGGCCTTGTGGACCTGGACTCTGCACCCCGCTGCCTACATGTCCTCCACCCCTTCTTTCTGAAGCCCAAGCTCCCTGGGGCGGGGGCGCTCCCACAGGGACACGTGGGAGCCTGGGCAGGACACAGGCTGACCCTGAGCCCCACTTCCTTCCTGGCCATAGGCCCGATGGTTCCCCAAAACTCCGGCCCAGGCCGTAGTGGCCCAGAAATCACCCATCAAAGTGGAGCTGGTGGCCGGGAAAACCTACAGGTGGTGCGCGTGTGGCCGCAGCAAGAACCAGGTGAGAGCACCGGCTCCCTCTCCTTCCTCCTGACGGGGGCAGCTGGGCCAAGGTTCCATCCAAGCCTTTGGACTCCAGCATGGGCTGGATTCTGCCTCTGAGCCTTCCGTGACCCCTGCCCAGTCCCCGTCTCCCAAAACACCCTCCCCTTTTGCCACAGATGTCTTTGTCTTCTCAGCGTGCCACATGCTACCTGGCTCTGGTGAACCCTGCTTGGCCCCGGACCTTTGTTTCCTTCCCCTGGCAAGAGTTCAGAACTGTGTCCCCTGAGTCGTGTGGGTGGTGTCAGCAACCCTAAGCCGCCAGTCCCACTTTACTGGTTGGTAGCCTTTAGGCAGCCTTTTCTTGGCAGTGGAGTGTTGCCTGGGAAGCCAGCCAAGGAATGGCTGGGGAGAGGGACAGCAGTTGTGCCCGCACTCCATGCCCTCCGGAACAGGCTGTGGATTTTTATTTGCACACTTCTGCCCCACCCTGGCTCCAGCTCTGCCTCTAACCTGCAAGGCACACCCCCTCTTGGGCTCCCATTTTCAACAGTCTGGCTCTGCCTGAGCCGCTTCCAGGATGGATGGGACACCAACTGCCCCTGGCAGGCACGTTGCTGGATGATGTGGCCTTGACCCGGGGCCAGCTATTTGCCAGAGCCAGACAGAACCACTCCTAGCGCATGCCAACCCCGAATTTTCACCTGAGGGACATGGGGGAAAGAAATGAATTTCATGGACTACAGAGACTCAGTCATTAGAAACAAGGCCTGTTAGTACGACAATTTCTCATACCTGTCTTGTCCCCTCTTGCAAATAGCCTGGCTTTCTGGGTCCCCTCCAGACTGTTATAAACCTGACCACCAAACTCCCATGGACAAAATAATGGTCATTTATTATTATGTCTTTTTTTTTTTGAGGAACCGGGGATTGAACTCAGGCCCTTGTGTTTGCCAAGCAAGTGTTCATTCTACTGAGCTATCTCCCCGGAATTATGTCTTTTTGAGACAGGGTCTTGCTACGCAGCTCAGGCTGGCCTTGAGCTCACTTTGTAGCCCAGGCTGGTCTTGAACTCACAACGATCGTCCTGCCTCAGTTTCCCGTTATGCCTGGTGAACATTAATTATGCTTTTTGTTGTTTTCTTTTTTGTTGTTGTTTTTCTTGAGACAGGATTCACTGTACAGTTCAGTCTGGCCTGGAACTCAATGAGTCCCTTGCCTCAGCCTCCCAAGTGCCAGAGCCAGATAGAACCACTCCTAGCGCATGCCAACCCCGAATTTCTCCCAAGAGATTATAGGCCTGCAGCACCATGCCAGATCATTAGGTTTTATTTCCTTATCACAACTCTGCTTCCCGAATGAAGGCGAGGGGTGACTGAGTAGATGGAGCTGTCCCAACCGAGCCCAGCCCCTTGTGAGGCCCCTGCCTTGGTGGCGGCGCTCAGCTCTGACTCTTTTTCCTCTTGCTTCAGCCCTTCTGTGACGGCTCTCACTTCTTCCAGCGAACAGGCCTGGCCCCACTCAAGTTCAAGGCCCAGGAGACGCGCACCGTGGCCCTCTGCACCTGTAAGGCCACTAAGAGGCCCCCGTACTGCGACGGCACCCATAAGAGCGAGCAGGTGCAAAAGGCAGAAGTGGGCACCTCGCTCTGAAGGGCCGCCCAGGGACCCCAGTCACCACACCCAGCCTGTGAATGAAGTGCCTGCTGCTACTGAGGTGCCAGTCATCAGCCAGGAGTGGGCACCTGGTTCATCGTGCTGGGGATAATGGCACAAAACAGGCAAGGCCAAGCAGGCCTGTGATCACAGCTCTAGGGAGGCTGAGTCAGGAAGATCCCTGAGTTCGAGACCAGCCTGGGCTACATAGTCTAAGGCCAGCCTAAACTATATAGCAAGACCCTGTCTCACAAAACAAAAACAACAACAAAAACAAACAACTATAAATAAATCAGCCATCAAACCCAGGTGGAGTGGTGTCCCTGTGGTGACTAGTGCAAAGGACATACAATCTCCCTTAAGTGCGTGGGGCTGAGGGCGCCTGAGGGCTTGGCTAAGGAGGGGCTTCCCTTTCCTTCTGTCCTGCAGGGGCCCAAGGTAGCTGCTCCCAGACGGGAGTGTCTTCCCCGCCCTCTCCACCCCAAAGAAGGACTGGCTCCAGAGTATGCAGCATTTATTACAAAGCCATGGATACAAAGGTCCCAGGTGGGAGCGTACAGTCACAGGTCCTCAGACGGTGCAGTGAACAGACAAGCCCGTATGTCATGATGGGTTGGCACCTCCATGGGACCCAGGAAAGCCGGTGGCTGAGACCACTCAGAGGGAGGAGCTGGGCCAGGGCTTCCTGGCTTCTGTCATCTTGTGCTTCTACGGAGCAGTCACTGTCCACACCCAGCTTCAGCTGGTGGCGGGGAGGAGCAGAGGGCTGTTCGCCTTCAGCAAAGCCTGAGCTCTGTGCTTGTCACGTTTCCATGAGGGATGTCATCACCTTGCTGTGAGGGTTCCTGGGCAGGCGGCACACGGGCTGAAGGAGCGCGCAATACTGAAGCCACACAGGGCCGCTGGTGGCCTCAGTCTCCTCTTCCACAAGATCAGCATGCGCAGGCCCCTCACCCGGGGCAGGGAAGGGCAAAACTACTCCTTGGGCAAAGTCAACAGCAAGTGAGGAGGGTGGAGATTCCTTGTCCACACCCACCTGCCCTCTGGAACCAGGGTGCACGCCGCCTTGGGAAAGGCACTGTCTGCAGTTCTCTGCACATTCAGCCATGCAGGGCTGGGCAGCAGCCCCGGGGGGAGACAACCTGTGTCTAAAGCTCTGGAGCTGACACCCCAACTGCCCTGGGAAGCATGGGGCAGGGCTTTACCAGGCCCCCAAGCTCCCTCATGCCCACCTCCAGGTACCCCCCAAAAGGATAAGAATAAGTGAGCCAGGCCTAGTGGTCCACACCTGTAGGCTGAGGCAGGAGAATCACCAGGAGTTCAAAACCAGCCTGGGCTGTTAACATGGTGAGTTCACAGCCAGCCTGGACTACATAGCTAGACTGTCTCAAAAAGCAGAGCACATTACACAAGACCCCACTTAAAAATGAACACCCCATCCTCTCTCTCTCTCTCTCTCTCTCTCTCTCTCTCTCTCTCTCTCTCTCTC